GGAGGTGCCACCTAGACAAATACCCCAGAATCATCAAATTATGCAAATTACTTTTATGCCCTTAAATTGTTTAGGGAAATAAAATTGGGGATCTGGGGGTCTGGGGTTTTACTTCTGCTAGCTTCTATCGTCTTCTTCCCTTCCTCATCCTTTCAAAAATTGAACACTATTTCTTTAAGATCTGCAATTCATCGAGCGTCGCTTCTTCATCAAGCTCTGAATTGTCAATGAAATTACCATATTTTGAAGAGACATTGCTATACAATTTTCTTCAAAATTTGAGGGTCTCGGAGTCGGCCCTCTTGATGATTGAACAGGGTATAAATCGACTGGACCAAAGTTGGACTGTCTTCTTGGAACCCCTGAATTCCCATCATGGAATAGAAATCGGAATGGTTGAAATTCGAACCTCTGGGCGTTGGATTCGGGGATGAACTTAAGCTTGTATATCTCAACACTGGTAAGATTGGATGGCCGTGGCGTCATTGCGAAGGAACGGCGAGAAGTGTTTGATTTCCTCAAAGTGACATGAAGCTTCCCATCTTTTACAATTTCAGCGTCGGTTTCCAGAAATTCCCGTCCATGGAGTGAGACAACATCGGAATCCACCTTGAAGGAGAGAATCGAGCGGCAGTCTTCGAGAACTGCTCCATGATCAGGATCTTGGCACCACGGTACTCGAAGAGAAAAAGAAGCAGAGTGTACCAGATGATGCATTGGAGAACCGCCACCTAGACCATAAGGCTACCGGAGTCCTGGCCGTACATGGCGATCAACAGTGGAATGCCTATGACCAGAGTATTGTGCAGAGTAGAGAGTGAGAAAATGGTTATCATCCACTCCAAGCTTTCGTTCCTAGTGAAATTCGTCCACACCATAAGAAGACGAGCATGATAATCTTCTGAAGTGTATCGGCGACAATGAACCTGTAATTCATTTTGTACGGATTGTTGGTGGAAAAAAAGTGGAAAGATGAGCGGGACAGTAAATATCGCGACGAAACGGTTGATGCCGGAGTACTGATCCGGCAAGAAAATCTTCCACCAGCGAATCGACCCATATGCCAAGATCATCGCTACATAAAGTGGAATCACCGCCTTTAAGACGGTGGGCAAATCCTTCCAAGAAATCATTTTTCACAAAAAAAATAAAAAGATTTTTTGTTAGCAAAGATTTTTTTTTTTGTTGAAAACCTGTTAACAAAGATTAAAACTTTGAAACCCAAAAAAAATAAAATAAAACCACGTCAGACGCAGAGGGGCTTAGAGCGGATCGTTAAAAGTTAACAGATAATAGAGGGGCTGATTTGCCACTGCAGGTGAGTTGAGGGGTTGATTTGCGCATGAAGTGAGTTGAGGGGTTGATTTGCCACCAGTTGATGAGTTAAGGGGGTGATCTGCACCTTTTGCCATGGTAATTTACCCTGAAACTTGCAAGGCTTCACGGGATCCCCACAGGGACCCCATCTTGGGGATGGAATTTGAAAAATATTCTTCTCCACAAAGTTGAGATGGAGACAATTGTTTCCATGCAAAATTTCGTGAGAAATTTCTTTCACTTCATATATTCTTGTAAGGATTTATATATAATAAAAAATATATAAAAATTTATATTTTTATAAATTATAATATATTTACAAAAAAATAAAATTCAATT